CTCCTCATCGTCTCCCACTGCCTTCACCTGAGTCCCTTTCCACAAAGATTGCAGCTAGCACCCAAAACTGATCCCTTGCTTACTCAGATTTCCATTTGTCTCAGTAATTTTACAACTTTCCGAGTTATTTGGGTTAGATTGAGTTGTGTAGGAGGCTGAATGAAGGACTTACTTACACCACACCAGCCAATAGGGAGTAAAATCTGCCTGGTACCATGTTGCAGTTAAGGTAAAATACCTGTGGGAAGTAATTTCTGGCTCACCAGGCACACCTGAATGGTGTTTGGAGCAGAGGCGAATGAACACGCATGACTGCAAATATGTGAGTATGTGAATATGTGAGTATGTGAGGCATCAGTCATAGGACTGCAGGTGGCTCAGGACCAGGTGGATATTTAAGGTATTTCCAGTGGCACAGACTGATGGGGGAATACAGCTAAACATGAAGTAACATGAAGTAACTCATTAATCTGGGAGTTATCCTGCTAGTGTGGTGGAAACCCACCGAATTCTCCCTTGGCCTCATGCTTTGAGATGTTTGCCTGTGATCTGTCTGAAGCCACATGGTGTCAAAGGGGGCCACACTTCAACCCAGGCACAACTAACGTTTTCTAAGTGAGACGTTCTGCTTCCCTCTGTCCCCGCATCATACCCCTGTCTGAATTGGCAAGTCTCTCCATCTTTGCTCCCAAACTAGTTGCATCAACTGCTCTCATGAAGTCCCAGCTGCAGTAACATCCCAGAGCAGTCAGGTACCTTGGGAGGCTCTGCTCTCCATGTTACCACACAGGAGTGAGATTTCAGGGTTATAATAGATAAAGATCTGTATTCAATATATCAAAACTCAAAATGAACATTAGGGATTGCTATGAATGGAATAGAGAAGAAATCAGGGTGACATAAATATTGTGAGTGCAGGATGGTCTTGCCATCTCCAAAGGGGAAAACAGAACCAGAGATGGCAGAAAAAAGCTATTTCAGCCGCGTCAGCCTCTGTGTAAGAAGTACTAGAGAGATCACTGCTTTCCAGCTAGGGAAGGAGATGTGCCTGCAAAGCCACACGTAGCACAGGGGAAATGGGTGGGGATGATTGCTATTTTTTCTAATAAAAGAGCCAGGAAGGGGCAGGTTTAAAGAAGTAAATAGAGATGTGTCTTTGCACATGTGTACATCACACTGGAGCTCTTGTCACAAATATTGTAGATGCTACGAGATTAGATTTGTTCAAAGAGCAACTAGATACATTCATGGAAGAGAAATCTATCAAAGGCTATTAAATGTAAAGACCCTGGGGCTGGCAGGTTGTTTCTGAGCTGCTCATCCTAGATGGCCAGAAGAAAATTATCATTGCATACTCTTCTCCCTTAAGCACTGCCTATTGACTGCTGTCAGAGACAAGATAGGGCTTCACTTTGACCAGTACTGCTCAGATTATAGTCTTACAATGGCGTGTTATTTCATGACACTCTCTTCTCAACAGGGAACTGGGCTGACTGCCTCTTTTTGTAGCCTTTGCTATATCTCTGCTGCTAACAAATGGACCATAGTAATATGATTCTGTAATTCTGTTTTAAAACACTTTCTGCTTCTTTGGGAGAAAAGGCATGATACTTGCAAAAACAGGATTTAAAAGAGCGTCTACAAGATGTTTCTAGGACAACTAATAAACCACATATTTTTCTGACAGGCATAGCCCTGTTGACAGCTGTCTTTCTAGAGACATGCATGTCCCAAGCCTCATTCATATCTGTGTCTTTTGGATTTGTTTGAAAGGAACAAAATTGTTTATATGGGTTGAAAATCCCATGCAATCTCTAGCTGGTCATCACTGTAATCCACTCTGGTATCACGTCATACAGCAGTGCTTCTTCCTGTCCTGCTTTTCTGGTGGAAAGGCTACCTTTTTATATGAGGTGTTTTCTATGGGGAGTTTTCTGAGCTCTTTTTATTTTTCCCTCTCTGCTCCTCCCTTACTATGGGAAGGCTTGCTCCAGAATCCTTTCTTGTAGGATTTATGGTCTGAGTCTTTGCCAGATGGATTATTTTGCTTGCCAGCAAGTGGTACATTTGGTGGTTGCAGGCGCGACAGCTTCCTGCAGGCTGTGCTTGTTCTTCATCCATGTGCCTTTCAGTTTGCACCAGTGCTTTGGTTCATGAAGTTTTGCTGCTCCCTGCTCTGAACAAGTGTTCAGGGGTGCAGTTTTAAGGTACTTCAGTAAAAGCCTGCAAGCACTTCAAACCAAAGGCCACCCTGCGAGCAGCTTTCAGCATCTCCCATTCTGTGTGCTGGGCAGGCAGCACTAGGGGACTGTTGGAAGGGACAGTGGCTGTCTTCTGTGTACCTGCTCCCCTGCAATTTTCACACTTCCCTAGCAGGCCTTTGCTTGCTCTGCTGCTGCTTCTGCCTCCACAAGACTGCCCAGCCAGCCCCAAGAGAGCTGCAGAGCAGAGCAGCAGCTTTTACTAGTCTAGCAGCCTGCACAACCTGCAGCTTCATGGGCACATGCATAGTGAAGCCCATGCACAGCCTGGGAACAGCTGTGTTTTGGGACACAATTGCGTGTTGCCAGGCCAGGTTTTATTTTTATCATAATTTTTAAAATAGCATTTGGTGTTAAGGCTTGGTTTAAGTGGCTGGATCAAGCAATAGCTAAAGGAGAAGCCTTGCAAAGAAAGTCCAGATGCTATCACATACAGTTAGAGCTCCTCTGTCCTGAACCCACAGCACTCCACTGGCATTTGAAGAAATGTGCTACTATCTCATAAAGATATAAATTATACAGACTCATTGTGAAACCTCTACAATGGCTTTGGCTTCTAATTGCCATTAATCTTAACTGGAAGAGAACACTGAATTTCACTACAGAAGCTTGGGATTTTTCCTATTTGAGGGTTTTCTGCAAAGACTTCTTTGGTGGCTTGGTCAAATCATCGTCTGTTCTAAACCCCGACATACAGTGTAGTATGTTGACAGTGCTCTGCACATTTGGCTTCCAGCTGGCTGCCATTACTTGCCCTAGGAGGGGACCAGCTATTTGCTGTCCCAGAGCCGTGTGCATTTTCAGTCTCTGCTGAAGTATTCACCATGTCTGATTTGCAGAGCACTTTGGGACAACTTGCTCTGCCCTGGATAGCTGTGAAAAGACAACCCCAGAGGCAATGGTTATTCAAGGCAAAGCATAGAAATATTTCTGCTTGGTTCACAGCCCCGGCTCTGTCAGACAGTGGAAGGCATTGATTTGCCTGTGGGAACAGAAGACAATGGTGTTGTCCAATGCATTGGTTCAAGCAAAATGAACACTAAACTTGGCTCTGCCTTGAGGTGTGTGCAGGTAACAGTGTGGGCTACTCCTGCTGTGCACAGACTGATGAGCAAACTCCTCATTCAGAGAGGCATGGACTCCATGCAGTCAGAGATGGTCCTGAAAGCAAGACAGCCAGAACAAGCAATCACCCAAATGTGAGTGGCTTCACAGGATGCTGGGAGCCCTGCTTTACCTGTGGGGGTCTGGATGTGCCTGGCAGATGCTGGGCTGAAGCTGGAACGAGAGAACGGAGACCTTGGCTCCAGTGGTGTGGGCTGCAGCCTGAGGCAGCAGGGCAGGCACCTGCAGCAGACTTTCAGCTTGCTGCAGAGGTGAGACAGTCATGGGGGCAGCCCCGTCTCCCTCCAGGGCAGGACTGGCATGCCTCGCTGCTTCTGCTATGGTTCTGACTAGCGCTTGCCTGGGGCTCTGGCTCCAGCCTTCTTCCTCGAATCCTGTGTCAGTGAGGTGTTCAGTCTTCAGCAACTGGTCTGAAGTCATTAACCTCTCCATGAGGTTTGTTCATGCTTTGGAAAACAGGATGGAGCAGGATATATCCTCAGAAACCTGCAGTACAGCATAAAAGGCACTGAAAAACTGTGTTAGGGTATAAGCAAGGTGGGTAGTGCAGAAAGAGGGACTACCTTTAATGAGATTAAGTATTCACTTGGAAAAAACTGATGCTTTTGAGTGCCCAGCCCATCTTTCAGTTAAGTGAAGATGGGTCTGCATTCCTCAAAAGCTGGTCTGCTTTTGTAACCTGTATCAGTTGCTCTAACAAAAGGTTTTTCCTTTCTTGGAAGCCTTTGTCTTGCCTGTGTGTTCTCTCTGGTTTGGGCTGTAAGTTTGTCTGAGTCATTCAGAGACAGGAATTGCAGAGAAAATCTGCGGAGTACCATCACTTTTGTTTGTACCTTACCTGCCTGGAAAGTTTGTTCTTCAGAAAGAAATTTGGATTTGTAAAAGCATCTGTATCCCAGGAAACTGGAGTCATGCTGACTGCACCCCTCTTAGTACAGACCAGGGGCTGACTGACTTCTCCTGCGGAACTTCTGCGTAGTCTCCTGAGGCAGCACCACTGGGGCATGACAGAGGAGTGCTCAGAAATAGGGGAGGGAGAGATGGAGCTGTTCTTGCTTGCACTGGACCTGTTCCAGCAACAACAAAGGCACTTGCTTCTGGATATGAAAGCTTATTTCCTCCCAGAGACATGGAACAATGAAATGTCACCTGCAGTATCTCTGTATCTTGGTCCAGTGTCACGATGCAAATCAGGCCTCAGCAGCATGCCACTGTGATTCTGCAGCACAGGCTCTTCCTAACCCACTGCCTGCCTGCTGGGGCAGGGTTGTGTGCACGTGTAAGGGTAGGGCAAGGAGAGGTGGGAAAGGGTCACTTTTCTCTATGGCTTGCCAAAAAGATGATCTTGTCCTGGCATGCTGGCTGCTACGAGGAAGGTGTGTCCTCAACTCCTTACTCACTTGGCCACTTTCCCTGGGAAAGGTCAAGTTGCAGCCCCAGGGCCTGGAGAGGTGAAGGTGGGTCTATAGGCAAAGGCTGAGGTTTGCAGCTCTTGGGGTTTTTATTTTGTCAAATGAACAAGTTGAAAATCATCAAGAAAACAGAATTGCCCAACAAAGGAAATAACAATATATCCTTTTTGTGTGTTTGTATGTGGTTTTTTTTCCCCTGCAGTAACCACAACTCTCTCCTCCTGGTCCGGGCATGCTAGAAAATGCAACGAAACAGCCAAGTCCTATTGTGTCAATGGTGGGGTATGCTACTACATCGAGGGGATTAATCAGCTGTCTTGCAAGTAAGTGAGTGTAATTCTTGTGTCAATATGGAAATTACTTGGCTGGAGGAGAGGAGACCTCTGTACAACTGCCAGAGGAGGGGTAGCTCTGAAATTCTTCTGGCAGTTGCAGTTTGAGCTGTGCAGGTTCAGAAAAAAGACTAGAGGGGCAGGGGTGGGGGAGAAGGGTTTATATTTTCTTTTTTGTGTGAGTGCCACTGTTCACTTTTCCTGACTCTTCCTCTAAGAATATGTTTGTCCTGGCTGTTTCCTTTCCCTTTCTTCCCTTTCTCCTCTGCAGCTCCAGGGAAGGTTGGGTCCCCTTTGCTCTCCTTGAGCTAGGTCAAAGCTCCACATCCCCTGCTGACATGTCCTCCCCTGTGAGCAGGGGGGCTTTCCCCAGTGCACTGCCACCTCCCTCCTCTGTGACTGGAGGGGGTCCCGTGCTGAGACCTGCCTCTTTCCTCTCCTGTTTGCACCTCATGGGCCCAGAAGCAGATTCAGCACACAGCTGTTCACCACTCCGTGGCAGGCTGTGGGTTCTTTAATTCTGTCCTTGAAATGTTAAAACCATTGAGACATACTAAGTTATTCTTACAATGAAATTTCTTGGAGAGATTAAAGTGGGGCTGCATAGTCCCCCACTGCATAGGATGTGGAATGGGATACGAGACCTTTTCACCTCTGGTTCAAACCTATCACAGTCAGTAAGCCCAATAGCATCTCACCGCACAGCCTCCAAGCCTCATGGGACTGCAAATGACAAGTGCAGCCTGATTGCCAGTGCTGGAGATGTAGGTACCCACAGCACACCTGTCCCTGTCCCTGGGCTCCTGTGGAGTGGGTATGAGGCACTGCCCTGGGTGAGCAGATGCTGAGCAGATGCAGTCAGCTTCTGAGCTCACCTGGGGATCCAGGTGTCACTGTGTCCAGCTTGGAGAAGCCCAGAGCTGACTATATTCACACAGTGTGGGCCAGAGACCTCTCTGTGGAGACACATAGCCAAAGGTATTTACATCTGGATGTCAACCCAGTACCAGTGCCACTGTGTGGTGTGAGCCTCACTAGACACCTCAGCTCCTCAGACCTTGAAGAATGCATGCAAACAGAACCATTGCCACTCCTGGAAGGGCTGTGAGCTGGGTGATGCTTAGAACTCCTCCCTTCTCCCAGTATTCCTTTGTTTTGGCAGGGAGCAGTAGGAAAGGCCATGTGGAAATGCATTCCTATGAGCTTCTGTGCTCTCACTTTCCAGTGCAGGATCAGCTGAGGTGGGAAGGATATAGGATAAACAGCATCTTCCAGTTCTCACAGGCTTGCCCCTTCAGACATGAAAAGATCCATGCAGGACAGAAACAAGACGCTGTGGACCCCAAATTTCCCATAAGTATGAAGTGAAAGCAGCCTCTGTACACCACAGACATGTGCTTTAGGGTAGTCGTCTCTGCCATTGGCTTCCTGGTGGCACTGTAAGTTCATCTTGCCAGTGTTTCCCATAGGAAATATGGGGGAAGCTCCATATGATGAATCAAAATCACAGCCACTAGTCTGGTGTAGCTTCCATGCTGGTGAGGGCTCAACCTTTGAAGCCTGGAGGAGTGTATGAATCACCATCTCTATCTGTAAGCAGTGTGGTGGTGCCAAAAGCATAGATCTCAAGGATGTTTCTTTTGGGAAGAACTTGAATCCAGATCAAGCCTTTTCAAATCAAATTAATTTCTAATTACAGCAAGTGTTACCTGAACTCCTGTCATATGCAGCTATAATGGTAAGGCTCCATTTTTCCTAATGATGGATGCACGTGGTATTTATCAAGTGTCTTCAGCAGATAGACTGTTTTAACCGAAGTAATTCCAGACTTGAGAAGAAACAGTATGCCTTGAAACCAGGCACTGTGATAACTGATGAACAGAGGGGAAGCTCAGTGGTAGATTAAGATTTTATGTGCCATATGAAACAGACCTAATTATTTCATCTAATTTGAAAGTCTTGATTCCTTAATTGCAGATGGTAAAATGATTTTCTTTTATGCTGAATGCCAAGATACCAATTGCTAAAATCAGATGGGAATTGAATGGGTGTGCGTGCAAGGACAGCAAAGTGTTAACCAAAAGGAGGTGCTTTGAAGATCTGCACTGTCACTACTCATCTACCAGAAAAGACAGTTCTGTGTTAACAGGAACACAGGGGACTCAAGTGCCTTCCACACAGCGCAGTCATTTCTGATCTTACTGCTTGAGGAGATATCTGGATGTGCATTCTCCTTAGGTGTTTTCATCATTGTATCTGACTGAAGATAAGAAATCCTGGCTTTTGAAGTGGTGTAATATAGTTTCTGGATTCCACAAGCAATAGTTAGTTATTGAGGAATGCAGAAGCATTTGGGCTGGACATAGAATTTCCCATAAAATGGCTTTCCCAATAACATGGATGATTCTTGGGGAAGGCTGATGATGGATAAATGGACCACACATTTGCCTGCCTGCAAACCAGCAAAATGCTGACATGTTTCACAGCATCCTCATTCCACCAGGACAGGAGATCTGCTGCTGAGATTTGTGAAAGATACAATAGTACAGATTCGGAAGAGAAACCAGGGGAGACAAAGATGCAAACTCTGTGATGTGGCAGCCAGCCCTGGTCCTCTAGCCACATCATGCCTCTGAGACATGAGCATGGAGGAGATCGATACGTCCTTCTGCACACAACCTCTTCAAATGTCTTGAAGATCAAACAAGAGCCATGTGGGCATCTTGAGCCAGGAATAACATGTCTACATCTGCTGTTCCCACGTTGCTGTTCTGATTAGAGTCAACAGAACCTTGGCATTGTGTGCCACCTTGCAGTCCTCCTTCACTGAGTGCTATGGAGTTTCTAGCACCCAGACACCTGTGTGATGTTGCCAGCCTTTCCAATACCAGCTGTGAGACACCAGTTCTTGCTACCTAACCTGCTACCGTCCCATAATCAGCTTCCTGGAGTGGATTTCATTGTTTGCAGCTGTCCACAAGCATAGGGCATCCTTCCTGTAAATGTTACCCCTGGCTGGATTCTCAAATGATTTCTTCTCCTGAAATGGCTCATGCTTGATTTGTTACAGATAACACCTACATTGGCAGCTGACCTTTTGTTACTATTTTTTAACAAGCTTCCCAGAAACATGTTCCTCCTGTTTAAATTCTGAGGAACAAACAGTTTGCCTGTAAACCCACATCCTCCATCCATTTTCAGTACACTTCAGCTAGACCATGGTTTTCTTCACCAAGGAAGGGCCCGGAATGGACTTGAAGATGTTCCAGAAATTGTGTCTTTGTTTTTTTTGGATTGTGTGCTTGCTTCAAATTTTGTCCTTAATTTGAAGTAAATTCTACACATGCTAGTGTCAAACGAAACCTCAGTGTGATGTCTCTGCTGTTATCCAGAGTCTGCAAACAGGCCACCTGGATGTTAGATGGGCGAAGTGTGATCTGCCTCAGATATTCTGCAAATTTTCAGCATAAACCAAGGAAACTAAGCCACACACATACAAAACTGACTCAGCAGCCCTAGCAACTCAAAAAACCCCAAGCTCTTGATGACAGGAAGAATTTGTTAACCATTCTCCAGACTGTTTTGCTCAGAGAGGCCTTACGAGTTGGACTAGTTTCTCACCATAACTATAGGGAAGTGGCAAGTTTGAGTAGAGCAAATTCCAGTATCTGCAGAAGGGTTGCAAGTCCCAAGGCCTTGAGCTGGGCTGGGACACAGAAAAGCAGTGACTGGTTTGTTGTGTCCAACTGAATGTAGTGCTAGGGATAGATAGCAGCATCTGATCTTGGGTCTGCTCGATCCTTGAGTCCATTGAATTCTTGGCTCAACTTAGAGCAGTTTGAGGCTGCTCTAATCTTTCATTGCTGGGTGCCATGCCCCATGGGATAGCTCTGTCGTGTGTATCACAGCAGAAATACTCTTTTCCTAGTTAGGTCTTGGCACACGTTATCTACACTTGGGGTCTTCCCAGCCAGAGAGACAAAGCCAAGTTTCATTGCTGCACAGTCCTTTTCTGACCACTTCATGACGCTCTTGTGTCATTGATGTAATAAAAGTGGCTGGTACCCTGGGCCAGGATTTTCCTAAATAGCATGGGATAAGAAGACTTAAAGAGCTTTATAGAACAACACCCCCCCCATCATGTTGGACTATTTGTGCTTGCAAGAGCTCAGTTTTACAAAGAGCTCAGATTTACAAATGCTGACAGATAAACAGAGTCTCTGGGTTTGGACTGACAGTATTGCATTACATGAGAGAGTGAGATCAGAGGCTTGGAGGATCTCAGACAAAAAGTGAAAGTCAAAGAAAGAATAAAAACTAAAACAAAGCAAAAAAGAAAAGATCAATTAATTTTTAAACTCGTTGATATATGCAGACCATCATTTTACAAAATCACATGTTCACTTCCTAGAAGTCCATTTGCTTACCTCCTCCATGCATATTGTTTCCTGCAGATTTTCCCAGGAAAGGATTAGTGAAGTGTTAGCCATATTGCCAGCTCCCCTGTGCTTTTTCAGAGCACCGTTCAAAGGGGTGAACATCAGGCTTGTCTCATATGGCCATGGTCCTACTTGCAGCACAGCTTCCTCAGCTCCCCCATGGTGTCAGGAGCTGTTCATCCATCCAATGACTCTACTGATTTGGTCAGCACAATATGCATGTTGTACAACCACAAATATGTCACTTTGACATGGATATATGAGCACTTCTTCGAGGAGGTGTTGCAAAGTCCTTGGAGATGAAGAGCCCACTGTGTTGAGCTAGGGGTGAAAATCTCCACATCCTATTCCAAATCCCCTGAATCAGCCAGGACTCATTATCTGGTTTTTGCATGATGTTTGTCTTGGATGATGAGATCAGGTACCTTTTTGTTTTCAAGTGGCTCATCTATGCATCTGTTCAATGTGGTTTTTAATGCACATATAACTATAGCAGACCATTGAGATCCATTCAGAGTGCAGAAGCTGATCCTGCAACAGTGAGCTTGGTGA